ATATGGGAAGGTTTTAGTAAGTAGGTTTGCCTTTTCCCATAGAAAAAGAGCAGTATTTTGAATTTTTCTCACGATTGGTTTGGGTTATGGGAAATCCAAGGTCACCATTAGATAGAGCTCGTCGAGTTCTACTTGGAACCGGGTTCGAACACTTGGAACACGTTCCTGGACGAATATGGGAAGGTTTTACTCGAATATGGTGCTAACTTCACCTACGTCATCATTGCCTATAATAAACTATCAAGGATTCTCAATTATCGCCAACAGCACACAGTGTACATTAATCAATCCTCCAGGTGCTATCATAGGCATATTCGATTACGATTCAATATTAAGACCTCCTCTAGCAGGTTCGTTTGTCACAGATAATGGCCAAACTATCGTTACTGATTTAGTCTCAGTAAGTTTTAACTTATAAAAACCGAAGGTATCCGATAGATGAAAAAATATTTTTATAATGAAGAAGTCTTAGTTTCAAACATTCTATGTCATGACAACATTACTTAGGAATTTAATGAGATACTACGACAATGCGTGAGATTATTCATACTGAAAATTTTCAAAGTATATCTTATCATACTATATTATTGATGTCATAATCAAAATTCTTAGTGTATTTATATAGATGATATAGTTCTGTTGTAGGTACAGAATCACAACTAAAGTCTTCTAGTATTCGTGATGCGACTGTGGTATTTGGTTATAAATAGTATAGAAAGATTCAAGAGAAAAAAACCTATTTCAATAGAAAAGCAAGATACTCATCCTGTCGAATCACGTATCATTATGAAGGACATTCTCAACAGCGGCAAATGCAAATGATATTTCAAAAAATTCCTAATACACTTGAAATCTTTCAATAACGAGACTATCTCAGAATTCCATGCAGAGTATATGACAAAAAAAAAGTCTCGTACAACAACCCTTAAAAGTATTTACCATAGAACAACAAATTAATTTCAACAGTACTACATATTAGAGCATTCGAGACTTTTATTTCAAGTAGAATTTTCATCAAAAAATATTACCAACAATTTATTAATAAATATAAAAGAATTTTTCTATAAACAAACACATAATTAAATGCTATACGATCTGTAAATCAAATCTTCTATAATACGATGAAAAAAACTCATTCTAAATTTTAGTTTCAATAGAATCTGAAAGATCAACAAACGTTTGCTTTACTTGACGTTGTTCGTCTGATGTGTATATTATAGAATGCAATCATATTAGCTTCATGTATCGTTTTCCGATCTTGGAACATGTCAAAAAGAACATAACAAATACTTTTTTATGAGAAATCTTTTCTTTTTTGATTTGAAAAATAGTCTTCAACAATGCTACCTCTACCATATCTTTATAATAAATATCATATTATCTTTCTGTCACTACATATATTTACTCTGGCTCATGAACTTCACTTTGTGATTAGACGATGAAGAAAAAAACAAAAACGTCAAATGACACAATTATATATCACATCTGTTTGATAAACATTTGTTCTGATAAAAAGATGGTTGTTTTTGTGACAACAAGACACCTGTCCAGATGATATTTAAATATCGAAAATGATGCATTAAACACATTTATATAATAAAATAGTCTTTTTCTTTTAGAGTGTACTCATCAAACTTCACTCTTTGGAAATATCATGGGCAATTTTTCTGCAAAAAGTAATTGATATATTTAAATATAATGAATTTTGTTCAATTTTCTAGTATAGATTCTCGACAAGTCAACAATGAGACAGAACATTCGTCGATGATGTCCAATAAGAGAAAAGTTAATTTGAATACAAAACATGTATGTTTTGAGAATGTTAAAGATGTTAACAAGTTGTATGAGTATTTTTCTTTTCAAATTCTATTTGACTTTTATTGTAGATATATGACTCGTGTACAATGTGTCTTGGTCCATTTGGAATACAAGAAGAACGTGTTCCACGAATATGTATGAATATAAAATGTGGTCGATTATATTGTACTCATTGTGTAAATTCAGTACAAATACTTAATGGAAATAATAAACGATTTCGTTGTATGTATTGTTTGCTTGAATATCCTCGCGATAAAATACCAAGGGAACATCAATTACTCATACAACAATTATGGAATAATATGGCTATAAAATATGGTATTCGTTATACACGTCATTTACTCTCGAAAAATCTAACAGAAAATAATATGATTGATCTTTGGTGCGATATTGAATGTCGACGACGACATTTAGTAAATCTTATTTCTACACTTGAACATTTCTCTAGATGGGCACAAGCACATCAAGTAATGACTGATGCTCATATTATGGCTGAGAAATTATTAGATATTGTTACACGAATTAAAGAAGATCCCATTGGTAGTATGAATACATGTCAAAATGAATATAAACAAATCATTTCAATATCTGATCATGATAATAATAATGATATCGGTTCACTTTATATTCGTTTATGTGAACATCTACTTGTCGATATTTCAGATGCTGAATTTTATAGAGCATTCTCGAATACACATGCAAAAATGATCGAATGGAATTGTGCACTTGCTTCACATGATCAATTTCAACCACAAATTCTCGATTTAATTTTAACAATTGAAAAAGATCTTGATGATCAATGGTCGACTCATCATCATGATATTGTACGAGCTAAGATTGGCATTATTGGTTATACATGTGTTGGTAAAAGTACTATTCTTAATCGTCTTCTTGGTGTGGAAGATGTAACCACTGATGAATCCTCACCAGTGCGTAGCATAAAAAGTACTTATTATCAATTACAATTCGATCGAAAAGAGCCATTGATATCTCCTGATAATCGATTAAAGAAAACTGCTGTAACACTTGTTGATATTCAAGGTCATGATAAAGATATAGCTACAGTTGATAGTCAAGTTGAACCTGGCAATTATCTAGATGAAATTCGTAAGGCCGATTGTGATATATATATACTAGTATTTGATGAAAAACTACGTTATGAACAATATGGTTGGATTACTTATATCGAACAGACATTAAAACGACATTGTATTTTAGTAAGATCCAAAGTAGATATTGATTTTTTGGCTAAATTTCGTGAACGTTCAGGTATATATTTTGGTAAGAGTACACCAATACAACGTAATCAATTTATACCAACAATTATTGAACAATTGAGATTTGATAATGAGGTTGAATCACATCAAGTTTATCTAACAGCAGCTGATTATATGCCATCAAGTTCTGATGCTGAACTTTTATTAAAAGATCAATCATTTGATATAAAAATATTATTTGATGAATTAAGTCGTTTAGCATTCGATGCACGTAATCATCGTATTCATGCATTAGCAATGAGAGCATTGGCTCGTGTCATTAATATATGTTTTCGTCGTGGCTATGTACTGAATGTATTTAATTATAAGATTGGAGCTGGATTTGCTGCTGTTGTACCTTTTGGTGATCAATTGCCACGTTATCTTGCAAGAGATCATATTCGACAAGCATTTGGTTTAACAAAAAATTTTCGTCAATATTTAACTCAATTTCATCTAACTATTGATGAAGGTTGTTTACAAACATCAACACTTGAAAATTGTGTTACAGCAACAATGATGAAATCAAAATCAAGCAAGGGTTCTTTGGGAGCAGCAGTTGGTGGAGCGTTTATTGCAAGCGCTCCATTCTCTGACGATATTATTCGAGCAGCCGCACCAGCTGCAGTTGCTATAACGGGAGGTGCACGTATCGCACTTACTGCTAGTACAGCTGTCGTAGGTGTAGTTATTTCGGGTATTGTTTGTGCTTGGTCAGCTGTTGATAGTGGCAAACATATTTTTGGTTATGTCAATAGAGTGTGTGATGATTTTATTTTAGTGAGCAATCCATTAATTGCTACAATCATTGATATAAATTCAAGAAGATATGAACAAACTCTTTAAAAAAAAAGAATATCTATCGATTTAGCGTTAAATCCTGTTGTCGTCTGCTAATTATTCTATGATGTATTTGAAATGATTTTGTTTTTGTATTCTCTCAAGTGTTACACAATAAAAAGGAGATCTTTTCCTCTCTTTATTGATCTAATGTCCATCATTATATCTCATAGACATTCTCGTTGAATTAGAATATAAATGCTTAAAATTTCAATATCAATAATACCACTTTGGTACTGTTTTTCCAAAAACCAAAAATCATACATGAAAACTTCTTGATTCCAAAACTTATTATTGATAGAAACATCATATATATTTATATTAGCACATAAATTTTGAGCGTTTTTTTCCTGGTTCAACAACAACGTTATTTTTCAACAAAGATATGCAACATCAATCAACAATATAATCGCCATTGTTTACGACAACCTTAGCCTATCTTGATGGCAATAGTTCAATTTCACGTTTGTAAAAACAAGTCGATTGTAATTTGAAAAAGGTAGTAAGGTCAGACATTAGCTCATCGAAGTCTTCATAGTGTTTGTTGCACAGATAATGATGAAGGGATCGGAATAGATGATAGTCGGATGGCACAAGGTCTGGTGAACAAGGCGGGTACGCAAGAACTTTTCATCCAAATTGTTCGATTTTTTGCTGAGTCAATTTTGCTACATGAGGCCCGCTATTGTCATGTAAGAGGATGACACCTTTTTGATTCGCCAAAACAGGTCACTTTTGAAGTAGAACTTCATTCAATGTGACTATATTACTGATTGATGTCGTATGTCCTTGTCGAAAAACAAAGTTGTTGTTGAACCAAAAAAAACGCTCAGAACTTATGTGCCAATGTATTAGATTTTCTCTACAAAAAAAACATCTCCAACGAAATCTGTCTTTTAACTGTTACAATAATAATTTTTAAATAATCTATTCGTTGCTCATCTTATTGAACACATCGTCGTAGTCATACATCAAATATCTTATGTGAAACAGATAGTCATCAAAGTAATATAGGAAGTTTAGCTATGAAACTAATAGATGAATATCTAAATGATAATGAGGAAGATTTTGATCAAGGAAATTTTGATGATATTATTAATACTCAATCATTTACATTTAAAACATAATGATACAATGTTAAGTAAAACTCAATATGATAAAAATAAAAAGAAATTTTATTTTAAAAATAATTTTAGTTTTCGTAGCTTTCAATTTGTTTTATTTGGTGAAAGTATTCAGACAGATATTGATAATATTACAAAAGATACACATAAACCAATAGATGGTTTAACTTATGGTATGGTTTTTGAAACAGTTAATTCACATTTTTGATAAACAAATTAATACACATTTTACTGCTGTTGCTGCTTATCCTAAAAAACAAGTTAGCTTGACGTTTATACACTTCGATTGTTTTGAAAACTTTCGTTTTTTTTTAAGTTGGATCATTAACACAAGTATCATTGATAATATTTTGTAAATCATATGTTGTATTAGAATATGAACATTATTGACAAATACTTAATTCATCTTGGGAACTTTTATTAGACCATAATGAAGAATTAATTCATTCAGCGTAAATGGCTGAAGAAACAAGTAAACGTGTGACAAGAGAAAGTTTTTGCTATGTCAACTGTATCGGTGTTACAATCAGCTTCATTTTAACTCCTTTCACATCAATCAAGAGATGATGAAGAAGAAGCAGGTATGATTTCATTTTGTTTTTTTTTTGTTTTGAAAAATATAATTGTACATATCTTTTTTTTTAAATGACATACACATAATGATCGATTTGTTAAAACAAGTATTCAAATACGTCAAGCACAAAGAATATTTCCTTTAGCATTTGATGTAGTTGTTTATCTTCTTGTTAAAATGTTAGAAGGTGAAGAAACACTTGAAAATGTTTCATTGAGAAAGATATATATTTATATAACTTATCGAATAATAGAAATTTGATTGACGAGATATGTACAATTCATAGTTCATTAATTAAGATTCTAGTTTGAATATTTTATAAGAGAACTATTCTTCTCTTTATAAGAATAAGATGATTAACACATGAAAAAAGAATTATACAATATGGTATATTTCTTAAGATATGATGAAGATATGTTAATTTCGTCTCTATTATTTTTATATTTGATGCAGCTCGAAAAACTCTTCGAATATATTTGATTGATGAACCAACATTATTAATTTCTTTTTTTTTTCTTTGAAAAACTTTCTCATAAAGAACGTCATATAAATATTTTTTTGAAAATTTTAAATTAAAATATTTCCATTTCATTTTTTTTCAATAATAGATTAAATCTCTTTAAAGTCTTTGTCGTTTGATGATATGTTTAAGCGATATTCCATCTCAATTTGCTCATGTAGTATTTAATTATATTCTTGCTTTATTAATGAGTATTTGACATTCACCACTTGATAGTTCACAAGAATTAACTATAGCTGATCTTATATTATTATGGCAAATAATTCCTTATTTATATGGTCTTTTTTTAAAAGATTTAAAACAAATTTTACATAAAGAACAAGCTGAAATGATAATATTAATAGCTGGTGATATACCATCAAGAAAAAAAGGTTCTTATACATGATCCACATTTATCACAAATTCCAACACATTCAATTATACATGAACGATACACAATTTAGTAATATCTTACGCAAAGCATTAGATTTTTTGGTATACCTCATTCCAATCGCAATCGATATTATTTAATTAATGTTAAAAGTCAACAAATACATATATTGGATACATATGTTACAGATTTTGATTTTTTTTGTCGTCGAAATATTTCTTCACAATTATCATTAATACATACAGATATCAAACAATCACAACGACAACTTCAACATATGTTTATTTATTTAAAAACAACCAAATTATCAAAAGTTTTATTAGCACGTTATTTACTCCTCAAATACTCCATATAATCAAATCAGAGTTGTAACTGGTCTAAAAATAGTTCCAGACAGGTAAAAACCAGTGAGTTCACGAAGTTTTTCTATATGATAAAAGTGATGTTAGGGACAAAATTTCGTTCTAAACGCTTACAGATTTTTACATAGGAGAAAACAGCTGATTTTTTTCAATTTTTTTTATCAATTTTAAATGAAAATAATCAATGTAATAAAAAAATCAAAATATCACTCATTCAGAAAGGCCTAGGCTTGTTTTTTTATGTATTTTCTTATAAATGAAATGCATGCGTAGAAGTTGATTATTAAAAAAGATATTTCGCACATTTAGAGGATGAAGTGTATCATAATAACTACAAAAAAGATGATTTTTTTCGGTTATTTTTAATTTCCCTAATTTTTTTATTAAATTGATCTTTTTTGCTTGAAAATTGATAGAAAATAAAAAAACCAACAGTTTTCTCTTAGTTTTTTTAATGAAAACATCCGATTAGTCAGCTTAACCAGTTTATTCGAAAACAAATCTGATTTCAGCTTTTTTCCTCATTTTTCAGGCTTATCTTTTCTATAACACTTATATTGCAGTGAGCTTTATTCCTAATTCGTTTAAAAGTTTTCCGATAAGAATACTAGGGGGCAACTCAAGCTTGTGATCGATCGAGATCGTTGATTTACGAGGAAACCACCCGAGGTGTTCAACGCCGATTTCCTTCGTTCATAGTTCGCTTGATAGAGGGCATCAAGATAGTAAAAAGTTTAAAAGGATTTGTGCTGATGGCTCTTTCTTAAAAAGTTAGGGCCAATTTTCTGTTCTTCCTAGCTAACATACCCAAAACTTGAAAACATTACAACGCAGTCAAGAAAGATTGTATACACATGAAATTTTCAGCACTACAAGCTCACACACACCGCTGATCAATTTGAAAATTTTAGACTGTTTGGTCGTTTTGTTCCTGACTTATAGGATTTTTGCTTTGCTTGAAAAAGTACATTCCTGTAGTTGACTATAGTGCAGTTTTTTTTTCTCGGTTTTAGATAACTATATCTCGTCTGTTTTCGTTTCCATCCTTTGTTAAATGGTTATTAACATTTAATGATCGGGAATATATGATATTATTTAACTGTCTTTGTTTGCAAATGAACTAAAAGTCTTGAGAGTAAGTACATTGATTATGATGAACCGTATAAAGTATTACGATCAGCTGATATAATCCATCACTTCAAACAATCTAAAATTTTCAGATTGATCAGCAGTATATATTTCACTTATGAGTATAGTACTTCACATACAAATTGGCACAAAGATCATTAAATTCAGACAGAATAGTATTTTTACGTGTAACATAATTTCAGAACTTATCTTGTAAACAAAAGTTTGAATCAATAAAATTCACGACTATATCTCATCGAATTATCTCATAATATGAATCAACAAGCCATTGACAGCTAGAAAAACTACAACAACTACTTAATAAATAACATGCAGAGGCTGTCACAATTTTAAAGCTATAAATTTTATATTTAGATTTCTAATTCTTTATTCGATGAATAATATGTGAACAACAGCTCATCCCAAATACTGCTGAGAATACTAACAGCAGAAAATCTTTTTTCATAATATCTAGTCCATAGTTAATCATTTTTCAATCGGACAGCGCATGGGTTCTAGACATAATAGTGAAGAATATCGGTACATATTGTTCATTATCAGATACTTTTCTTATATTTTGTTTAATCTGTTCTCTTGCAAAAGTGATGTTGGACAACTTTTTGTGAAACTTTTGCTTTAACAACTTTGTAATAATTAATGACTTATACTTATGATAGGAAAATCCTTTCTAGTTCTGCAGAAAAAAGTATCTAATCACATTTTCATATTACTTTCATGTATTCTAGGTAGAATATCAACTGAAAACATACTAAAACTCTCCTAACTGATTTGCCGTCTTAATTCAAAGTTTTCTGCACAATTTTGTTTGCAATTGCATTCTCAAATGAATAATGTATAAGCAAATAATTAAACCATGTGAAGAATCTTCTTAAAAATACAAGTTTTAGTCTGTCAACAGTGTCTCTAAGCCCCTGAACGAGATTATATCTAGTGCATTGTCAACAGTTTCAAACGCTTCAGTTCGACTAACACGTAAAATTGTAAAGGTTTCACAGTTTACAAGTGATTTCAACACTTATACAAGTTATTGAAATAACATAAGTTATCGACAAGCAAAAAAACATGACAAAAGTCACAAAGTCACTGATATTCTCTACGACTTATTATATCGTTAGAAATATTAATAGCTCGTGTTCATTTTGGTTCGAGTAAAAACTTGGAGCTATTGAATGCTGTTAATATTGACTCATAATCTTCATTAGTATTCTCAGTTCGTTGAATGGAAAAATGACTAAGAAAAATTGTTTTCTATTTTGAACCTTTGTTCATTGAATAAATAAGTGTAAAGAAGAACAGAAAAAACAACATACAATATGTAAACGGACATATCACAAAGTTAGGTTTTCTTACAAATAATGCAGATATTGTATATATTAAACAAATTGTAAGAATATAACTGAGAAAAATAGTTAAGGAAAAATTTGAAACTACTTGAACCTAGCGGTTGCTGATAGGAAAAATAAAAATCAAAGTCGAAGCTATAGAATAAGTATTCATAATGACAAAAGTGGAGAGCAAAACATAAATTGCATGATATGAATTTGTCGCTGTTATTGTGAAAAATTGTAGATTCTTATTTAGTTATAGACGTAGGTGCGCTTCCTTCAGATAATGCTGCATTTGAGCAACCACAATTTGTGTCGGTTCGCCAGCAGCCACCAGTGCAGTAACAATTTTTTTTTCATCTCTTGACAACACCAAAAAAAATATGTGTGCGAGAAAAGCGCATTTCGACGTTAATCACTGCAAATTCAAAATTTGATTATATTCTATGTCAACATTCAATATTTATATATTGAGAAAACAGTGAACTGACGTAAAAAATAGAGTCATGCTTAATTGCCTACAAGTGACTCTTTTTTTTCGTTGTATATCCGAACCTTGACATTTTTTCATGTTCTTTTCCTCCTATTCAGATCCTTTTCGTCTCTACTTTCGAGCAGGAGTGTGATCGTTTCTGTGAAGCACGAAAAAACACTGATTCACAATTAGCTTCTGCGTTTTGCGAAATAAGATATCTCCATTATTTAGTATTCCATAGCATAGATCAACGTAAGAAACGTTTGTCCTACAAAATAAGTCATATAATAGTAAAAAAATATGCTCATTCTTCATTTCAATCAGAAGATATTATTAACGTTGGAATTTTTCTTTGTTATGATTGAAATTCCGTTTCTAGAGCGAAAATTTCAAATAGTATCCTTCATGAATGTATTGAACGGCACATTATTTG